TGGCAGAGGATATTATTCAAAAAGAGAGGGAGGCAAAAAAGAGTGACTATAGGCCGGTTAACTTAACATCTATCTTGAGAAAATTTTCAAGAGCTTTATAAAGGATGTAATAGCTGAACATTTAGAAACATAATATGATCAAATGGCATCAACATGGCTTTATGAAGGGGAATCATGCCTGACAAATTTATTACAGTTCTTTAAGGAGGTAATAATCAGGGTCAATGAAAGGGAACCATTAGACGTAATATATTTGGACTTCCAAAAAGTATTTGTAAGTCTGCTTAATAAAATAAGATCTCAAGGTGTTGAGGATAGTATATTAGCATAGAGGATTGGCTAATCAACAGAAGATAGAAAATTGGGATAAAGGGGGCATTTTCAGCATTGCAACCTGTAACTCGTGGAGTGTAACTATGATGATTAATGGTGGGTCACAATTATTTACAATAGAAATGACTTGGATGATGGAAGTGAAAGTACAATCACCAAGTTTGTGGATGACATAAAAATAAATAGAAGGTCAGGTAGTGAGGGTGATGGAATGGCTCTACAAAGAGACAGAGACAGGTTAAATGAGTTGGCAAAAACTTGGCAGATGGAAAATTGAGGCTAGGCCTATTGTCAGAAAGAATTGGAGAGTTGAATGTTATTTAAATGGGGAAAGACTGCAGAAAGCTACATCAGTGGTTTGGCGGTCCTTGTGCACAAATCACAAACAGCTAGTATCCAAGTTCAGTGGGTAAAGGGGGAAGACAAGTGGAATGTTGGTCTTTATTTCACAGGAAATGGACAGTGAACATTGGCAGGTTTTGCTAAAGCTAAAGAAGGCACTAGTGAGACCACAGCTGGAATGTTGTGAACAGTTTTCAGCCACTTATCTAAGGAAAGATATACCGGCATTGGAGGCAGTCCAGAGTAGGTTGATCTAGGTTTGAAGGGATTTTCCTACGAATAGAGAATGAGCAGGCTTGGCTTATGGTCATTGGAGCTTAGAAGAATGAGAGGAGACCTTATTAAAACATACAAGATTCTTCGTGGGCTTGTGTGGATAGGTTGCTTCACCCTGTGAGAGAGTTTAGGACCAGAGAGTGTAATCTCAGGGAAAGGGAACGCTCATTTAAGACAGTTAAGTAGGGCATTTTTTTTCAGATTGGTGAATCTGTGGCATTCTTTACCACAGACGGCTTTCGAGGCAAGATTGTTAAATATGTTCCAAACTGAGATAGACAGATTTCTAATCTATAAGGGAATTAAGGATCATGGGGATAAAGCGGAAAACAGAGTTAGCAGAAAACATCCCGGCATCCCATCATTGAATGGCAAAAGGGGGTCGATGGGCCAAATCACCTACTTCAGCTCTAGTATCTTAAGTTATATTCTTATTTTTTTTCTCAAGCTGGTTAATCTGCGAGCGACTTTATGGAATTTTCACATACTGGGATGAAAAGTGCAAATCTCAAATAGGAGACCAGGGTTTCTTCTTGCCTGACTAGTTTTGGTGCTTTTTGATGATATGTTAATTTTGGCTCAAATTACGTTGTTGGAAAAGCTGGGATGTTTCTCCATGGACCAAAGGGAGCTTTGACAGAACTGTACAAACTTTTACAGAACTTCTGATCAAGCTGGTTGAGTCCAAAAGGATTGGGTCTGCAGCAGATGGCAGCAGTGGCAGGGTAGGTAGTCTTTGGGCGCTGTGCCCATATGTTCCCACTTACTTGGCCAGCCGTGTTCTTCTTTGTTCTTTATTTTTGCTTCTTCGTTTCTCTTTTATATCAAAGTTCTCCTTTTCTTCTTTTCTGTGGTGGAGGAAGGCAGTTATGATGGCACACTGCAGTAACAGCAGCATGGTTGATCTGTAAGTCTGTTCCTCGTAGCCATAGTGGCCATGGCTTTATCGAAGGCTTTTTCATCAGTGGGTCTGGTCCATTCCTCCTGGCTGTGGCAGCTTTGGGCAGCGACTGAAGTGGTGACAGCATCAACACTGGCAACTTGGTGGGTCTGGTCTGTCCTTGCTATGGTGGGGATGCAGTGGCTTCAGTGTCGGCTTTGGTGGTGGCATTGTTGTGTGTTCAGTCTGGAAATCCTTGGTTTGATGGCCTCAGGGACAGCTTCAGCCGCAGCGTCCGGAACAAGACGTGAACTTTGTCCTAACTTTGTTACAATTATTTCTTTTTATACTTTCAGTGATTAAAGTGGCGACTTATACATATCTCACTATATTTTCATAAATGCAAGTAACAATAAATTGCTATTCTATTCTAACAAGAGGGAAGAATATACTTGACCTCGTCCTTATCAGTCTGCTGGCTGAAATGCATCTGTCCGTGACAGTATCAGTAAAAGTGACCGCTGCACAGTCCTTGAGCGAAAGTCATGCCTTCAAATTGAGAAAAACCTTCATCATGTTGTGTGGCACTATCACTGTGCTAAACGGGACAGACTTCGCACAGATCTAGCAGCTCAAGACAGGGCAGCCTTGAGGCTCTGTGGACCATCAACAGCAACAGAATTGTACTCCAGCATAATGTGCAACCTCGTGGCCCGGCATATCCCCCACTCAGCCATTACCATCAGGCTAGGGAATCAACCCTTGTTCAATGGAGAGTGCTGGAGGGCATGCCAGGAGCAGCACCAGGCATACCTGAAGATGAGGTGTCAACCTAGTAGTCAACGGCATAAGCAGCAAGTGATAGACAGAGCTAAGCGATCCCACAACCAACGGATCAGATCTAAGCTCTGCAGTCCTGCCACATCCAGTCATGAATGGTGGTGAAAAATTAAATAACTCACTGGAGGAGGAGGCTCCGCAAATATCTCCATCCTCGACAATGGAAGAACCCAGCACTTCATTGCCAAAGATAAGGCTGACGCATTCACAGCAATCTTCAGCCAGAAGTGCCGACTGGATGATCCATCTCGGCCTCCTCCAGTGGTCCCCAGCATTACAGATACCAGTCTCCAGTCAAGTCGATTCACTCCACATGATGTCAAGAAATGATTGGAGACACTAGATGGTGCAAAGACAATGGGCCCTGACAACATTCCGGCAATAGTACTGAAGACGTAGGCTCCAGAACTTGCTGCTCTCCTAGCCAAGCTGTTCCAGTACAGTTATAACATTGGCATCTATGCGATAATGTGGAAATTGCCCAGGTATGTCCTGTACGTAAGAAGCAGGACAAATCCAACCCAGCCAATTACCACCCCATTAGTCTACTGTCGATCATCAGTAAAGTGATGGAAGGTGTCATCAACTGTGCTATCAAGCAGCACCTACTCTGCTATGGTGACACCCAGTTTGGGTTCCGCCAGGGCCACTCAACTCCTGATCTCATCACAACCGTAATTCAGACGTGGACAAAAAAGCTGAATTCCAGAGGTGAGGTGAGAGTAACAGCCCTTGACATCAAGGCTGCATTCGACCAAGTGTGGCATCAAGGAGCCCAAGTAAAACTGGAATCATTGGGTATCGGGGCTAACTCTCTGCTGGTTGGAGTCATACTTGACCACAAAGGAAGATGGTTGCGGTAGTTTGCCATTTTTGCCTTCAGTGCGTAAGTTGATGTCACATGGTCTGAATGGTTTCATTCCTTGCTTGTTTTCAGCGATCAGTACAACTGAATAGCCTGCTCAGTATTTTCTGAGGGAACCAACCACATTGCTATAGGTCTGGAATCTCATAAGGGCCAGATCAAGTAAGGGTGGTGGCTTTCCATCTTTAAATGATATGAGTGGACCAAATGGATTTTGTGACATTCAGCAGTGGTTTCACTGTTATTCCTTCTGTTTTAAGCAACAAATGATGATGGTCTGAAACACCTCAATCACAAGGGTGGTCAAATGTAGATGATGAATGATCTTGAAAGGAAATGAGACTGACACTTGAGGAAAATTGTTTTTATATGACTATTTGGAAAGAGTGGTGAGTTGATGTCTTTAAGTGGCCATTAACTGACTATTTAAGGTCCTCAATTGTTGAGCAGATCTGCAATAGATCTCTTTGTTTGTGAGGTGTGAAGCAGGAGGAGAATATTTCTCCAGGACCAACTCGCCCATTATTTGACTTTCTGTTCACTTTTCAGAAGGGAAAAATTGGACTGGGAGAAAATTACACGTTAAATACAACAGTTCACTAGATTATGAACAGAGAAACACATAAAACACTTCGAATTCCCTCTCTCACCAAATTCCTGAGTCCATTACTTTATTTAGCTGTACTTTTTGATTTGCCCTGTATGTTACTTACTCCATTTATATACCCTGTTTCACAGGTCCAAAGCCTTTGAGATAAGCGGTTTACTGGTGGAGTGAGAAAGATCATAATGAGAGGTTTGGATCATGGCCTTTGGATCATCAGTAGGATTTCATGGTGTTGAGTGCAGGGTAGTTCAAGGAAGAGATCAATGATAATTGGGTGCTCCTCTAGTGCTGTATGGATAGGTGATTCTGGAGGTTGGATCCATAGTGACAGGGGAAGGAGTCTATCATTGCAAGATGAAGATCTGAAGCAAGGCTGGTGTCCAGTTGTGGTTATGGAGGAAGCAGACACGTTGCAGGTTCTCTGATGGAGTGGTGGGAGGCTTGTCTATGGAGTTGCATGTTGGGTGAGAGGAAGCCCTGCATGCCTCTTGTTCCACAAGCAGTGCTGGACAGACACTGAACTTCATGGATTCAGCCTCTCTTCCTTTAAACTGCTAAGGTTCCTGAGACCTAGAAAGCCAGTTACTTGTAATTTAAAAATAAAATGGTTGGAAATCTCGTTATAATATTTAAGTGATTAACCCACTTTCCATAAGTGGCTCAGTCATCCTTCCCTTGTCTCTTATAAGTAAAAGTTGAGTGGGGTCAACGTAGATTTAATCCTGGTGCAAATGTTTTGCATTTTAACCTCTTATACAATCCTAACCTACCCATTTTTTTGGAAGTTAAAGTATTTACCAATATGTTTCCCTCAAGCCCGTTCCTACAATTGAAAGAGTTTTCCTTTCTTTTCCCAGAATATGGAGGGCTTGGTTTGGATTTCAGCTACAATATAGCAGTAGCAGAAGAACTGGGAAACATACCATGTGGTGGGATTCCCATGGCAATCGGCGTCCAGAGTGATATGGCTACACCAGCTCTAGCCAGGTATTGACTGCATTTCTCAGGATGGCAGGTATATTTGGTAAGGACAAATTGGGAACACTGTCAAAGAAATTAACAGAGGGGAATCTTTTGGTAGAAGGTCCGGATTCAAGTCCCATGTCTAGAAATGATGGCCACAGAGCTGTGTAGTAACCTGTTCGAACAGATCAATTTTAAAAAAGAACTTACTACAAAACTAAAAGTTTGCTAATACTTAACAAAGGAATTGCATTATCCAAGTTTTACTGGTTCTTCAACATATGTTCTTCAACAGATAGGCAATTATAAATATTCCATTCAGTTGAAACTCTGCATATGCTCAAGTGAAAGTGATTAAATGCACGATAAAGAGCTTTGATTTCCCTCAGTCCATGCCCTGAGTTGTAAACCTTATCCCCATCATTCTGACATTGGCTCATTTTCCTGAGGCAGAACCAATTTATATTCATTGCAATCTCCAAACAGAATCCCATTTATGAATAAACTCCTGATATTCTTTTTCTCATTTTCTTGTTCTTTTATGTCACTTCTTCCTAAATTAGAATTTTCTATAAATGTCATTTTGCAGTTGAATTAGTGAAAAACAAACCCACCATTCCCGGCAATATCCTGGTAAATCTCTTCTGAACCCTCTCTAGCTTAATAATGTGATTCCTATAACAGGTAGACTAGAACTGGACATAGTACTCCAGAAAAGGCCTCACTAACATCCTTTACAACCTCCCAACTCCTATACTCAAAGGCCTGAGCAATGAAGACAAGCACGCTAAACACCTTCTTAATCACCCTTACCTATATGTGATGTAAATTTCAAAGAATTACATCCCTGAACCCATACGTCTCCCTGCTTAATCTGAAAGGCAGCTTCTCTAGCAATGCAGTATTCAGTACAACACCAAAATGTCATCTTAGATGATGCCCTTGAATGGGCAATGTCAGAAATCACACAACACCAGGTTATAGTCTAACAGGTTTATTTGAAAACACAACCTTTTGGAACCTCTATCCTCCTTCAGGTGTTAGAGAGGTAGTATCAGACACAGGTAGACAAACAGGAGGCTGGAAGAACACAGCAGGCCATGCAGCATCTGGAGGAAAGTTTCGGGTATTATCCTTCTGAAGAAGCATTGACTACTCCTTTCCTGTAGATGCTGCCTAGCCTACTGTGTTCTTCCAGCCTCCTCTTTGTCTACCTTGGATTCCAGCATCTGCAGTTTTTTTGTCTCTAACTCAGTATCAGACACAGAATTTATAAGTAAAATATCAAAGGGTCACACTACTAATCAGGATTTATGAAACAAATCTAAGATGCTATTAAATCTTTAAACAGTTAGAAGGTTTTAATTGATTAGTATGTATTTGTAAATCCCCGAATTCCTTTCAAGTCACTGTCCTGAGAGAACTAAAGGTTTAATCAGTGTAAAGAAGAGATGACATTTTAGATCAGACGATGCATGTTAGGTATGAGGCTTTGTTTAGGATCTGTTTGTGTTTTGGTTTGGAGTCAGACTGGTTTTGCGTCTATAGTAGGAATTTACAAAACGCCACATTGACTATCTATAAATTGTGTGCTTTTTGAACAAAATCGAATGTATTTGCAAATACAAATTCACCCCATAGATTCACATGTGTGCGCGCGGGCACGTGTGTGGTTGTGTGTATGTGTGTGGTTGTGTGTGTGTGGGAGAGAGAAGGAGAGTGTGTGCGCGTGTGAAGGAGAGAGAGACTGTGAGTATGTACGTATGAAGGAGAGAGTGAGCGTGTGCGCGCAGTGGGGAAGAGTGTGTGTATGTCTGTGTGTGCGTGTGTGTATGGGAGAGAGAGAGTGTGTCAGTGTGGGTGTGACTGTGTGTGTGTGGGTGTGACTGTGTGTTTATGTCTGTCTGTGGGAGTGTGTGGGTGTGGGAGAGACAGTGTGTGGGTGGGTGTGTGGGCAGGAGAGAGTATTGCACGTGTGTGGGGGAGAGAGACTGTTTAGGAGAGAGAGTGTGCGCGTGTGTGTGGGGGAGAGTGTGTGCATGCATGTGTGCGGGAGAGAGTGTGCATGTGCGAGGAGAGCACGTGTGTGTGGGTGAGAGCGTTCGTGAGTGTGTGTGTGTGTGCGTGCGCGTGGGGGAGTGTGTGTGTGTGTGTGTGTGTGTCTGAACATATGAGATAGACAACGTTGGCCAAGCCACATGAGTATCTGCCGTACCAACTCCTCGATCGCCACTTCTGACATGCCACAGCGAAAAACTGTAATGATCTCCTCAAAAGACAGACACGGATACGTCAGATAGGGTACCCTTCGTCGTCCAATATTTCCCTGGAGCGGAGAAACTACACCATGTTCTTTGCAGCCTTCACAATATCGATGACAATGAGCACCTTGCCAAGATCTTCCCCACACCTCCACTTCTCACCTTCAAACAACCGCCAAACCTTAAACAGACCATTGTTTGCAGCAAATTACCCAGACTTCAGGTCAACATCGACCACAACACTTACAACCCTGTCATGGCAACCTCTGTAAGACATTTCAGATCTTCAACATGGACACTACCATCACATGGTAGATACTCATGTGACTCGGCCAATGTTGTCCATCTCATACGCTGCAGGCAACAATGCCCCAAGGCATGATATATTGGCGGAACCATGCAGACGCTATGACAACGGATGAATGGACACCGCGCGACAATCGCCAAACAGGAATGTTCCCTCCCACTAGGGGAACACTTTAGCGATCAAGGGCATTCAGCCTCATATCTTTGGGTAAGCATCCTCCAAGGTGGACTTTGGGATACTCAACTGCAGAGTCGCCGAGCAGAGGCTGATAGCCAAGATGGCCTCAACCGGGATCTTGGGTTCATGTCACGTATAGGTGATCCACCACACTATACACTCATGCACAGGCACAGAGACACAGACACACACACACTATCTCTCTCTCTCCTGCACACACACACACACACACACACACACACACACACACACACACAC